ACTCGAGTTTGAGCTCGTTAAATAAACAAGCCAAAATTCGAGTACGAGCTCGGCTCAAACTTTAACGAGCCGAACTATAAAAAAATTATATAAAAGTTCGATTTTCGAGCCTTATCTAGCCAAGACGAGCTCGGCTCGTTAACTAATCGAGCTTTAAATGAGCTCGAGCTCGGCTTGTTAAAGCCTCGAATTCGAGCCGAGCCAGACTCATTTAATTCAACAACACTAGTTAACGTCATTTAATTTAATCCGATTCATTTTCCATTTAGAAAGTCTTATTGTTCAAAAATATTATTTTTTTTTTTTTTTGGTACAGGGACCTTCCGGTTTCCGTGATCCGCAAGAGAACCGACTACTCCGAAATCGAGCCGGGTAGGACCACAAGGGCAACAAAGCTCTCCCCCAAGAGTTTTAACACTGCTGCATTCCCAGGGCTCGAACTCGAGACCACTGGTTAAGCTGTAAGAGACCCAAGTCATCTCATCCAAGCGCTCTTGGGTAAAATATTAAATTTATTGATTATGGTCTAAGAGTGCTCGATTTATTTATTAAACGCGAGACTTGCGAACAAATAAAATAAAAAACCACGACTTATGCATGCAACCTTGATCAAACATTCAGATTCCATGTAATTAAAAATTAAATAATCTGATTTTCACAACTTTGATCATGATAATACATACTTTATTTATAAAATCAGTAACAACTACTTTATCTAAATAAGCACGTCAAATACACAGTATAACCATTGCATCTTTGATTCATAATTATTCTCTGATAATTTCCGAATATGTTGAGCCTAAGAAGCATGCTCGTGTGCTTCGTCGTAAGCTTTTTTGATATAAACTGGTGCTTCGTATTGATACATGTTCAGGTTTGGTTTTGACTATTAGGCTTGAGAATTACTATAAAACTATATTAGTTTTCCTTTTTTCTTAAGTTACCATATATTACTCTTACCTGTTTTATTTAATTCATATATTAATTATTACAAATATGTAATTTTTTTTTATTTTAAAAACTTTATAAACTTTTTATGTGTATTTTGTTTTTTATATATGATCTATCAGAATAATCATATTTTAACGGTATTCGTTTTGACATCCATATTACATAAATAAAATAAAAAATATTTTCATCTCTATTTATAAATAAAATCAATTTTATTTTTCACTCAATTTAAAAAATATCTTATAACAATAAAATAAAAATTCATTAATACACAATAATTATTTTATTGTTTTTTCCATTAATTTTGGATAAACCTGTTCTTATCCTCTAAAGGGTGTCACTTTGTGGTAATTACATAAAAAAATTATTAGAAATATTATTTCTCATTTTAAATAGATTATATAAAAAATTGAATGGTATTATGTTATTTAAACTAGTAAATATAAAATAATATCATAATTAAATATAATAAAATAATTTTGTATTTTATAAAGTTAAAAAATAATACATCTCTACGTAAAATCTAAATTATTAATTATATGAAATTTAAATACTTGAAAAATTAATAACATGAGATACTGACTTTGACTCTATAAATATGAATATAATCACAATACAATAAAATTTGTTTTGTTTAAAAAAATAACGAATTAAATATATGAAGTTGTAAATAATATCAGTTTTAAAATATAATGAAGAATATCTTTTTGGCAAATTTAGTATAAAAATACGGGGACCATTTAATTATCACTTTGTTAGTTATTTATTATTGTTGCATATTCATCATGCATAATTCACAATAAAAATTTAAATTATTTAATTTTTATTGTACAAATATTAATATATTTAAATACCCGTGTCTATTGTACTAGTATTAAAAAATGAATATACAAATAATGCTCTTTTCTTAATCAGTTATTTTTTTTTT